CCTGGCCCAGGGGGTCAATCACGTACTTTTTCCCCTAGGGCGGAAACGTGAAAAGTGAAAATTTTTTGCATGTATGTGTGTATATGTTCATACATACATTCATAAAAGTTTTCACTTTTCACGTTTCCGCCCTAGAGAAAAAGTTACGTGATTAACCCCCAGGTCTTAATCCCAAGATCCTAAACTTCATCCAATAAAGCTGCCAATTCTAACCGAAATTTGAACTCTATTGACTGAATTTTAAGATTAAGTCCTTAAGACTGAACCATAAACCAGGGTATCGATCATGAAACTTTTTCCCTAGGATAAAAAGTGAAAAGTGAAAATATTTACCATTGAAGTTAATGGAGAAATTTTTCACTTTTCATCCTAGGGAAAAAGTTTCATGATCGATGCATTAAAGGAACAGAGAACAGAGAATAAGAATTTCAACCTATCAGAAATCATATACTGTGAAATAAACAGTGTGTATTCTATAGTACATGATTTCTGATAGGTTGAAATTCTTAGAGTGCAAACCCATGCAGCGGAATAGCGTAACGCGGAATGAGAGTAGAACCAATCACGAGATTCTCTAGAAACACGGAATGCTTGTTATTGGTTCCGCTCTTGTTCCGCGTTAGGGTTGGATTATACTGGCCGTAATCTGTTAACTTATGCCGTAATCTGTAAAAATTGACCAATTATAATCGATTATTCCCCTCTCATTCGACTGTGATTGGTCAATTTTTACAGATTACGGCATAAGTTAACAGATTACGGCCAGTATAAATCAACCTTTACGCTATTCCGCTGCATGGGTTTGCACCCTTACTCTTTCTAGGTCCGTCAACACGAAAGATCAAAGAGATTTCGCCGCATGCTCCGTCCAGTACTATGGCCGGTATTCATAGTCAGGTGCAAACCCATGCAGCGGAATAGCGTAACGCGGAACGAGAGCAGAACCAATCACGAGTTTCTCTAGAAACACGGAATGCTCGTTATTGGTTCTGCTCTCGTTCCGCGTTACGCTATTCCGCTGCA